TTCTCACCTTGGTGACAATTTCCAACAGCAAAAATAATACAAATAGAGCTTATTTTGCAAACTATCAGAAACCAATACTTTTAATTGGGAAGTATTTATATAAGCAGAAGCTGTGCTGAATGGATATATATACAGCAAGGACTAAATAATTTTTAAATCCTGAACAGAATTGTTCTTTTGCAGAGGCACTATCGAAGACCTTACTCTCCTGGGCCACAGAATTTTCCGCCTTCACCCTATTTAGTAAAGTTTTATGGTTTTTTATTTTTTTAATGAGGTACCAGGATTTTTTTATTTCCATGTTTAGGGAAATGGCTTAAATATCCATAGAAGTATATCTCCCTCACATTAACTTAAAGTTGATCTCTTTCACTTTGCTGACTGGGGAAGATGTGTAGGATAAGAGATACCTTCTTGGGGTTCAGATGTTGAATGAAGGAAGATGATATGGCGCAGGAAAAAGCATGTGGGGAAAAAATTCAGCTACTTAATAGGGGGGCAACATACACTTCTTTAAAGCAGAAACATTTCACAGGAAGAGTCTGACTTATGTGAGGATTGCGGGGCTGCTGGAATGGATAAGTTGATGAAGGAGCCATAGTTCATTGCCTTGCCCAAAGCTTTCACAAGGCAGATTTTTTTTTTTAAATGGGGACATATTTAGATAATGTCTACATTGTAGGAATAAAGTTGCATTGGCTTAATCCCTAGAGAGACTTTCCCCATGACATCAACAGGTACTTTCTTAAAGAAGGAAGCTAATTCTGACAGCCATATGAGAATATATATACCTCTATACCCAAAGTACAAGTTACTCAATAGATTAGTGAGAAAATGGCCATTTCCCTTATAATATTCTATTAGAGTTCAGTGGAAAAGCAACATTTCTACTGTTTTAAGAAACTTACCACTATCAGATGACCCAAACAGAATTTTATCACAAATACAATAGTCTAACAGTTTCTATTTTGTTTTCATATTAATGGGGGAAAGAGTAATATATATATTTTTATTTTAAAAGCAATCACAAGAAGGCATATGCATAGGATTGGCTAAGAATCTATTATATCCAAACGTGAACATTGATCTTGTTCTAAACAACTTGCTTGGGTTAGATTTGGAAAGAGTTCTTTATAATTCTGGATAATTGGTCCTAAAAACAGATGAAACATTTTTAACCTCCAGTTTGCCTCTGCTGAAGCTCGTTGCTCAGTAGACTTCCCAGCTGTTTCATCTGGCTCCACGACAAGGCATGTCAGATCCCATCAGTGACGATGCTCCACACGACATCATGGATCACAGAAAAGTGTAGACAATGGCAGGCAATGGTGTCACCTCAGAGTATGAGGTCTTAGCTGGGACAAGTCTCAAAAAGTCTCTAATCTGTTATTACGAGGGACACAACTATAGATGGAAAGTTCAGCTTGCTGGGCTCTTTGGATTTATTTGTTTTAATATTTTATCTCAAAAACATGTACAAGTGAGAGTGGTACCTGTGGCTCAGTGGGTAGGGCACTGGCCCCATATGTTGAGGGTGGCAGATTCAAACCCAGCCCTGGCCAAACTGCAACAAAAAAAAATAGCCGGGCTTTATGGTGGGTGCCTTTAGTCCCAGCCTCTCTGGAGGCTGAGGCAAGAGAATCACCTAAGCCCAGGAGTTGGAGGTTGCTGTGAGCTGTTATGCCACAGCACTCTACCAAGGTGATAAAGTGAAACTCTATCTTTAAAAAAAAAAAATTACATGTAAGCAAAGATTATAAAGTTGAGTCAAGAGCTCTTGGTTACTTTGGAGATAGACGATGGAATTCTCCCACTAACTTAGCTCTAGTTTCATCTCATCAGTTAAAAATTTATTTCAAGTTAGAAAAATGTATTTTGGTTTTTCAATTGATGGTTCTGATGTTACTTAAATCTACATAGTACTTATTACTTTTTCAGAAATAAATGTCTTTTGTTTTGCTTTGTTTTGTTTTATCACTGGTATTGAAGGTCATCTATGATTTCCATAATATTTGTCTATGTGATAGTATTTCAGATGGAAGAAATAGGTGTGGCACGGTTAAGAAGCAGATTCAATAATGAAAGAAAGGGAAGGGAAGGGAAGGGAAGGGAAGAGGAAGGGGAAGGGGAAGGGAAATTCAGGTTCAGATCTAAAGAGAAAAGAGATCCAGTTAGTAAAGCTAGGAATAAAACTATAGAATGCTAGAATGAGAAGTTTTCTTAGAAATCATAGAGTTCCTAAAGTTTATAGATTTAGATACTATTTTCACAAGATATTCTAAAAAAGTAGTTCTACTACCAAAGAAATGTGAGTAATGGGGCATTCTGTGCCCTCATCTGGAGAGGCTCATTAATTTATATGCTAAATTTATGAAGGGTTCACTCTATCTTAGACACATTTCCAAGTGTACATTAAAGTGCGCATCTGTTAATGAAAATGGTATACAAGGTATAATACAAAATGCAAATATTAATTAATATTATCAGTTGGGTTTTGTGTACTTAACTAAATATCTGTACAATTTCAATGCCTAATTATTATGAGGTATAGAAAAAGAGAACAAAATCAGTCCTAAGTAGTTTTTCTATTTAAAAATGTTTCAAAAATCTGTTCTAATTATCAAATTTCCCACAATCAAATAATCTGGGTTTGTTTTGCCTGTGCCCAGGAAACTCTATTTGTAGCTCAGACATTCAGGTTCTCTGTCTTTAAGCAACTGTAGATGGAGACTTGTCAGGGGTGCATAGAAACATTTGTGAATAAGCCTGAGAGAAATTAGAATAAGAAATATTATGCTGATTTTTAACAAATGGAAACTAAGGTTCCGACAGTCCAACCAAAACAAAATTGTAGAGCTAGGAAATGACCCTAAGTTTTCAGTCTAAGCCACCTTCTACTAGGTTTGAGGTATAAAGAAAAGATAATTTAACAGATAGTTTCTAGGCTCAAGCTCCATCAGATGAATTTTGAGTTAATGTCTTTATTAAAATGATCTCTGGACATATATTATGGAATAAAATGATAATATATTCCAAAAATATATCCAAAAGATGAATATATTCCAAATATATCCAAATTATATATCATCCTTGACTTATGATCTCTTGATATTCTTATGATATCCTGATAAGCTCATCATAAGTTGAAAATGTTGCAAGTGGAAAACTCATTTAATACACTTAAATTACCAAATATCACAGCTTAGCCTAGTGTCCATTAAATGTGCTTGAAACACGTTTTGCTTAACTCTACAGTAAGGCAAATCATCTAATGCAGAGCCTATTCTATAATAACGGTTGAATATGTCATATGATTCATTGAGTACTGCACTGAAAGTGAAAAATAAAGTGGCCTTGTGGGAACATGAAATATAGTATCTACTGAACGTATGCAACTTTTTCAATAGTGTAGTGTCAAAAAATCCTAAGTCTAACCATTGTACGTGGGGGCCCATCTGCACTTTATTTTTTAGAGGAGTTTTAGATTCATAGCAAAATTGAGAAGAAAGTACAAAGATTTTTCCATATATTCACCACCTGTACACATATGTAGCCTTTCCCATTATCAACATCCCCAACCAGAGTGGTACATGTGGTATAATTGATGAGCCTACCTTGACACGTAATGACCCAAAGTCCATGGTTTGGATTAGGGTTCATTCCTGGTGTACAATTTATGGGTTTGGACAAAAATATAATGACATATGTCTGCCATTATAAATTCATACAGAGTACTTTCACCCCTCTAAAAATCCTCTGTGCTCTGCTTGTTTATCCCTCTTCTCCCTTAATGCCTCATGACTACTGATCTTTTTACTGTCCCTAGAGTTTTGCCATTTCAAGAATGTCATGTAGTTGAAATCACTTTTTAGTTTGTAGGTTTTTTAGGTTTTTTTTTTCACTTGGTAATATGCATTTAAGTTTCCTCTGCATCCTTTGAGGGGTTGACAGAGCTCATATATGTACATGTATTGTGTGTGTGTGCATGTGTGTGTGTATATAGTGGGTATCTATCATTCTAGTTGAGTGGTTCTCAACCTTCCTAATGCCGCAATGTATTTTCATTGTCAAAAAGGGGTCGCGACCCACAGGTTGAGAACCACTGCCCTAGATAGTATATTCTGGATATACTGCTGTTCATCCATTCATCTATTGAAGAACATCTTGGTTGCTTCTGTATTTTGGAATTATGAATGTAATTGCTATTAACATCTATGTGCAGGTTTTTGCATGGAAACATTTTCAACCTCTTGGGTAAATGCCAAGCAGCGTGATTACTGGATCATACTGTAAGAGTATGTTAATTTTGTAAGAAACTACTGTAGCTTTAATGTTGTACCTAAAAAGTTATCCAAAATCATCTAGATTTTCTCTTAAGTTGTCTCCTAACAGCTTTATAGTTCTGTGATGCATTTTGAGTTTATCTTTAAGAAGCATCATTGTTGAAAAGATTATCTTTGCTCATCTTATGTAGGTCTACTTCTGGGCTCTCTATTCTCTTCCATTGATCTGTTTGTCCATTTCTTCACCAAGAAGAAATCACCAACACATGATTGTTGTATTATAGTAAGACTTGAAGTCAGGCAGTGTCAGTCCTCCAATTTTCTTCTTCTCCTTCCTTATCATGTTAAATATTCTGAGATTTTTGCCACTCCGTATAAAATTTGGAATAAGCACTTTTTTATTCACACACTAAGTTGCTGGGGTTTTGTTTGAGATTATATTGAATCTAGAGACCTCGTTGGAGAAAACTGACATCTTGACAATTTCAAGTCCTGTGTTTTAATATGGACTATCTCTCCTTTTATGTAGATCTTTTACAATTTCTTTTATCAGTGTTTTTATAGTTTTCTTCATACAAATCTTGTACTTATTTTGATGATTGATTTTAGATTTTTATTGTTTTCTAGTAAATGTATTCAATGCTATGAATTTCCCTCTAAGTACTGCTTTTGTACTGCTACTCCACAAAGTTAGATTTTTTTTTGGTGATTTTATAAAAAAATATGGAATGCTTCATAAATCTGCATGTCGTCCTTGCACAGGGACCATGCTAATCTTCTCTGTATAGTTCTAATTTTTTAGTATATGTGCTGCCAAAGCAAGCACTTTTATTATTTTGTTTTGTTCTGTTTTGGTTTTTTGATATGTTATGTTTTAATTTCATTTAGTTCAGAATAATTTTAAGTTTTTTTTTGATATTTCTTCTTTGACCCATATGCAATTTAGAAATGTGTTTTCAAATCTCCAATTTTCTTTCCCATCTACTTTTCTATTCTTAATTTCTAGTTCAATTTCATCATAGTCTGAAAGCATTTATTACATAGTTTCTATTCTGTTGAAGTTTTAATCATTATTTTATGTCTCAAAATATAGTCTATTTTGGTGAGTATTTCATGTGAACTGAGAAGAATGTGTAATCTGCTGTTGTCAGATGAAGTTGCCTGTAGACGTTGATTCTATCTAGTTGATTTGTGATGTTACTGCATTCAGCTATGCCCTTACTGATTTTCTGCCCACTAGGTCCATTTCTGATAGAGGGGTTTTCAAATTTCCAACTACAATAGTGAATTCATTTATTTTTTTTCTTGAAGTTCTATGAATCCAGTTTCACATATTTTATGCTCTGTCAGTGAATGTTAAAAATTGTCATGTATTCTTGAAAATCTGATTACTTTTCATTATGTAATTCCCTTCTTTATGCCTAATAACTTCCCTTGCTCTGAAGTCTTCTCTTTCTTAATTAAAATAGTTACTCTTTCTTTCTTTTGACTAATGTTAACATGGTTTATATTCCTCTTTCTCTTTACTTTTAATCTACATGTGTCTTTATATTTGAAGTTAGTTTCTAGTAGACAACATATAGCTAGGTCTTGGTTTTTGGTACACTCTGGCAATCTGATTTTTAATTGGTGCATTTTGACCTTTGACATTTAAAGTGATTATCAATATAGGTGTTTTAATATCTACAAAATTTGTTAATGCATCCTATTTGTTGCCCATGTCCTTCATTGCTATTATTGTCTATTCTTTTTCTGTCTGTTGTAGTTGAAAGTGGGCGCCTTATATAGATCCATTTTCTCTCCTTTCTTAGCATATCATTTGTACTTTTTTGACTCCTTATAGCAATTGTCCTAGATTTAAAATATACATTTACTTTACCTCTTACATGTTTACATGGATGGACCTGGAACATATTCTTCTTAGCAAAGTATCTCAATAATAGAAGAAAAAGTACCCAATATACTCAGCCCTACTATGAAACAAGTTTCATAAGAAAGCTATAACTCAATTATAGCCCAAGAAGAAGGGGAAAGGGAAGATGGAGGAGAAGGGAGCAGGGAGGCTGGGTGGAGGGAGGGTAATTGGTGGGACCACACCTACCATGCATCTTACTAGGGTACATGTGAAATTTACTAGGTGTAGAATATAAATGTCTTAACACAGTAACTAAGAAAATACTGTGAAGGCTGTGTTAACCAGTTTGATGAAAATATTTCAAATTGTATTTAAAACCAGCACATTATACCCCATGATTGCATTATTGTACACAGCTATGATTTAATTAAAAAATATATATACATTTACAAATAATCCAAGTCCACTTTCAAATAGCACTCTACCACTTCACAGGTACTGTAAATACCTTATAATAACAAAATAACCCTAATTCTATTGTATTGTATCATTCCTATTGTTATATTAAACAAATTGATAACCTTTAGATCAATTAAGAATAAAGAAATAAAAGTTTTTATCTTCATTTATTTCTTTTCCAATGCCCTTTCTTTATGTAGATGAGAGTTTCTGACCTATATTCATTTCCCTATTTTCCTTCTCTCTAAAGAGCTTCTTTTAGCAATTTTTTGACAACCAATTCCTTCAGTTTTTGTTTCTCTGAGATCTTTATTTCTACATCACTTTTGAAGTATACTTTTGTACAGTCCAGTATTCCAGGTTTGTGTGGCTATTTTTTCCCCTCTACATTTAAATATTTCATTCCTCTCTCCTCTTGCTTGCATAATTTCTGAGGAGAAATCAGGTAGAATTTTTATTTTTGACCAATAGATAAAAATTTTCCTTTGAGTTCATTCAGGAGTTTTAAATTATGATTTTCTGTAGGTTGAAAATGATATGCCTAAGTAATAGTTTTGGGGCAATTATCCTGCTTAGTGTTCTCTGGGTCTGTGATTTGGTGTCAGATGTCAATTTGGGGAAATTCTCAGTCATCATTATTTTAATTATTTCTTCTATCTCTTTATTCTTTTCTGAGTATCAGTATGTTACACCTTTTTTGGTAGTTCCATATTCTTAGATATCTTCTATTTCTTTCAGTCTTTTTTTTTTTTTT